GCCTCCCCCTCCTTTATGAGGGTTGAGAAATTTGTCTAAGGCATATAAGACTTCTCCCTCTATATCTCTACATCCAAGCTCAAAAAGGGTATTGTTCTTGCACCTTTGTACACCACCTCATTGCCTAACCCTTCCACCATTGCTTGGAGCTCCTTAGAGGTCATTTTCAGAGGTTAAAGGTTTGGTTCTTAGTCCAGAAGTTGCTGGTTTTGTTGAGCATCAAGGGTAACTCCCCCTTACCACCTTCCATTGACTTGAACCTTTTGAACTGGTTGGCTGACCAGGGGAAGTGGTTGGCCGACCACCTGAACTGGTCGGCCTACTCCCTTCAGTTCTGTCTCTGTGAGTTGTTGCCAGCTGTGCCAGCTGGAAGGCACGTATTACATTCTCTATACACATGTATGGAGGATCTTTGGCCTTGGTTTTTAGCTTCTTTGAGAAGCTAAGGCCTTGTATCTCTACAAAGGAGGGCCTCCCCCTCCTTTATGAGGGTTGAGAAATTTGTCTAAGGCATACAAGACTTCTCCCTCTATATCTCTACATCCAAGCTCAAAAAGGGTATTGTTCTTGCACCTTTGTACACCACCTCATAGCCTAACCCTTCCACCATTGCTTGGAGCTCCTTAGAGGTCATTTTCAGAGGTTAAAGGTTTGGTTCTTGGTCCAGAAGTTGCTGGTTTTGTTGAGTATCAAGGGTAACTCACCCTTCCCTCTTTTAAGCTTCATTTTGATCCATCTCTTAGCCTTATTTGCATGCATATTTGATCTTTGTTGTCAACTGAAAAAAATCTTGTTTTGAGGTCTTTTTCATGTTTGTTTAAGGTCATGTTGTTGTTGGGGGTCATCTACCCCCTTGCATGCTTCATTTTGCCTTGTTTTGAGCCATGCCCTAAGGCCTTTGTGTTGACCTTTGCTTGGCCTTTTAACCACTAAAATCTAGCGGATTTTCAGTGGTTAACATGTGTTTTTGAGAGCCAAAATCAGAGAGGGGTGACCTTCTCCCTCCTTGTCTTGTTCACTAGCATTTTTGGCCTTACAAAGGAGCACATATTTGCACACCTCCAAGCCTTGTTTCAGGCCATTTTCAGTGACTTTTAGGGCCTGCCTAGGCTCTGTCTAGAGTTGGTTTTGTCACCTTGGGTGTGTCTCTTGCATGTGTAGAAAAACCCCTCTTATAGCCTATCAAAGGAGCATAATATTCTTGCATGCATTGATCATGTTTCAGTGGGTTTTTGGGCTTTATTTGGCATGTTATGTCTCTAACTTTTGCTAGTTTGGTGGCCTCTTGAATGCTTCATATGCTTGTAGTGTAATCCATGTTCACTAGCTCACATTGCATGTTGTTTTGGCCCTTGATTCTAGCATATTTTGGCCATGTTCTAAACTGATTTTATTCATGATTTGGGCTGCCTTGGCTCTATTTTGAGGTCCCATGGTCGAATGATGCTTGCCATGCATGCTTGTAGTGTAATACCCTTGCCTAGCTTCGAGTTTTGAAGCCTCTTGCATGCTTAACTTGAGTTGTTTTCATGTTTCAGCATCATTGAACATGTTATTTCAGAGTTTATACTTGTGCCATATTCCCATGTTTTTCATTCTTTAAATGCGTTTGAGAGTTGTGCTTGTATGCCTCATTTTTGGGCTATTGCATGAGCTTCATTTTTGTGCATTTCAAGCCATCATTTTAGTCCATTTTGCCATTGTTTTGGGTCTGCATAGAGACTATTTGGGGTTGGTTTGGTCATTTGGGCATCGCTTTGCATACCTCTATTGTAATGCACTTCACTAGTTTCGGTAATTGTGTCATCCAACATGCATCGGGTGAGTTGTTCGCATGATTCGAGACCATCTTGTATGTCATTTCAGAGCTGAAACATGTGTCATTGTATGCTGTATTTCATCATTGTCATACTTTGGTAGAGTTGCACTTTGTGCCTTAGGTTTGGTCTCTTGCATTTGTGCATGTTTGCATGTACCTTATTGCCTCATTTTCATCATATTGGCCACTGATTTGGGTGTGGCTGAGACCCATTCATTTTAGTTTAAGTCCATTTTTGCATTGAGTATGCCATTGTATTCCATAGCATTGAGTATGCCACATTGTCGCATGATTGATCATTGCATTGTGCATGTCTTGTTCATCTCATTGTGTATGTTAGTTCTTAGGTGCATTGTGTATGCTAAGTACCACGTGCATTGAGTATGCCATTGTTAGTTCATAGCATTGTGTATGCTAGTTGCATGCTTGCATGTCATCCTTTGCATGTTTGCATCACTTAGTTGCATAGCATTTAGGTTGCATACTTAAAGTCGCATTGTGCATGCCATTGTTTGTTGCATTGTGTTCAGAATAGGAGTTAGTTCGAACACGGGAAACGAGGGACGTTTTGTACTGAAAGTGACGAAACGTGCCTCGATTCCTGGTTGCCGACACTCTTGACTATCCATGACGGAGTTATTGGCTTTAGGTGCTTATATGTGCATTCATTTCACATTGAGTCGTGCAATTCGGCTCCTCGGCCATCATGCATCGAAATGCATGATTGGTGGCCCGAGGGTTGACGACTACACTCCTTTGAGCTTATGCAATGATGAGGAGAGTGGTCGTGCACACATGTATTGCAAATACTTTGTCGTGCCTCTCTCTTTCCCTTTGTTGCAGAAAACCAGAAACTAGGAGAGGAAACTGGTCGACCGACCAGATTTACTAGTAGGTCGACCACTTTTTTTGGTTTCAACCACAAAAGGTGGTCGGCCATTGGTCTCCCATGCCTATAAGCTGGTCGGCAGCCTTCCCACAGATTCCTAGGGTGGAGTTCCATCTCTCTGGAGCTTTGTGCAAGTTTCTGAGATCAATTGCAAACAAAGGCGAGTTGGAGCATCGCGATAGATTTCCCGACAAGGCGACTCGAGCATGCATGCATCTTTTATCATTTAAGGCAGAGCTGAGGCAGTCCACATTCATGTAGTTTGCATGCTAGTTTAATTGCTTACTTAGTTAGTTTGTTAATTAATTAGAGTTGTGTAAATAATTAGCTGTAATTTATTATTCATTTTAGTTGTGTAATAACTAGCTTAATTAGATTAGCTTAGATTAGCTAGTTGATGTTGTATTATTTATTCGGACCCTCCGTCGAGAGGGCCAACTGTTGTAATAAGTGTGCGTGTGTGTGATGCATGTCTTCCAACCCCACGTCTTTCTCCCTTTTATTTACCAGCTTACGATGGTTAGTATTAGGGCATGTTTTAATTAGCATCCTTATGCTTCGCATGTTTGCATTCACTCATCTATCTTGCATGCACCGGGCTCAGCGCTTCATACTAACTGCATTGTATTTCAATTCTAAGTTGAATACATGTTATCTGTCGCATCTTATATGCCATCTTTGAATAGCCGAGCCTATCTTAGTTGCATTTTGCATGTGTTGCATTAGCCATCTTAAGATGAACTAGGATCATGCATTGATTACTAACTAATTTCTCTTTTGGCTCGGAGTGCTCGGTAAGTGTTTACGCTTTAGCATCCTTGCATGTGTGTGAGTGACTGCCATGATAGCATGCTTACCATGAGGCTAACTGCTTATGTGATATAACTGCCTGAATGCCTGTGGGTGAAGGTTGGGTTGCTTGAATTGGAATAATTCGTCGAAACCCGTGTTTTAGCCTACTTGCGAGTAGCAAACTTCAATCCATTTTCAAAACAAACAGATATGCGATGCTTTGTTTCAATTTAGGCAATCTAGTTTATACTTGTATGTTGTGCGCATCACATAGTAATTCTAGGCTAATAAACCGGGATAAGAGCACATGTGTTTTCAAAAACTAGATATCATGCTTAGTAGTGGCCGATCTTCGATCGGGCGAGCGGGGGTGCTCATGAAATGACCTTCCCTAATCATACCCAAGTTCCCGAGCTGAGGCAACTTTGGTGATGACGGACACGTGGCCTTAGGCACGAGTCAGGGTTTCCTAAATTCTCCTAAAACAAAATATTTAGGTGGCGACTCTGTGTCTGGCAAAGCAGTCCATGTTTGGCACTTCTTTCTAAAAATCTATTTTTCAAAATGATTTGTCGGATTTGGACTCTTTAGTGATTTATCGGTCTCGCATTGCACTTTGCGGGATTAGATTCAGAACCGTGACATTTGAGTCCGAACCGTAGTGAGCCCAATGAACAAAACAGGATTTTTCCGGGACGTTCGGGCGCGTTTACAATGTGCTAATCATTTGATTTACCCTGTATATTAGTTATACTTTATTGTTATTTTGCTTGATCATTTACTACTAAGTTTATCATTATACTTGTAAATAATTTGTTGTACTTGTAGTTAATTTTATTTGGGTATTATTAATTTTAATTTGTAGAAACCTAATTCACCCCCCTCTTAGGTTGCTTTTTAGATAACAATTGGTATCAGAGCCTGGGGCTCTTGTTTAGATTTAATAATCTTAAGTTTTTGATCCATAGCAACCATGTATTCTACTTACTCTGCTGTTGGACAAGCTAGCAATAGGACACTTCTCTTTGATGGTAGTAATTACATTCATTGGAAAGAAAAAATGACTTTGCATCTTCAAGCTACCAATTATGCTTTATGGCACATTATCACTAAAGGTCCTAAAATCCCTACCAAGGTAGTAGACTATATCAATGTGCCTAAACTTGAGGATGAATTTGATGAGCGTAATTATAAACTCCTTTTAGCTAATGCTAAAGCCAAGCTTATTCTTGTGTGTGGACTAAATGCAAATGAGTACAATAAAATTTCTGGGTATATTACTGCTAAAGAGATTTGGGATAAACTTAAAATCACCTATGAAGAAACTAGCCAAATAAAAGAGTCTCGGATTGACATGTTTATTCATGATTATGAACTCTTTACTATGGAATTATTTGAATATATTTCTGACATGTTTTATAAATTTACCAATATTATTAATGCTCTAAAATCTCTTGGTAAATCTTATACTAATGATGAGCTTGTAAGAAAAATATTTAGGTCTTTGCCAAATGAATGGGAAGCTAAGGTTACAACTATCCAAGAAGCAAAAGACCTAACAAAATTAGGCATTGAAGAACTCCTAGACTCACTCATGGCTCATGAACTTTCAATGATAGATGGCAGCAAAAATGAAGCCATTTGGAGAGAAAATAATGGAGTAGCCAACCTGTGTCTCATAGCTCTTGGAGAACAAGAATCCACTCAAGATGATGTAATTTCTAATTATGTAGAACTTGAAAGTGCTTTCAATGAATTACATGACATATTTAGAAATGTTTGTGTTGAGAATTCTAAATTAAAGAAATTAGTTACTTCTCTTTCAAATGATGTGGATGTTTTAAAAATGAAAAATGCTACTTTGAAAAATGACTTTACGTCTATTGTCAATGGGAAAAACATTTTGAAAAACAATGTTGAGGATTTAAAAAAAACTCTTGAAAATTTTGTAAAAGGAAAAGAAAACCTCAACAAGCTTCTTGGAAATAAAAAATGTGTTTTTGACAAAGTATGCATTGGTTTTGATCCTCCTAAACCTTTTATGAGATTAAATGTTCTTGAGACTAATCCCTATGTACCCAAGAAAGTATGGGTACCAAGAAAGAAATCAAGATATTTTGTAGGTGGAATCTCAAAGAACACTAAGAACTTCGAGAGGAAATGCACAACAAGAGTGTTCAATCTAAAGAGCAAAATCAGCTCCTACAAGAAAAAGAATGATGAAATGAAAATCACCAAGATGAACAATAGAGGTAATGTATGGGTGAAGATTCCAAAGAGGTAAATGAAGGTATAACTACTAACACACCTTTAAGCTTAAAGTTCTATATTCTTTAAGGAGTGATTTGTGTATAATAGGTTGTGTCTAATCATTGCTTCCATGTAACCTAATTGTACTAAGTTTGCTAAGTCATGTTCTGCTAGTTTCTTTTTTAAACCTTCATTGAACTCAAAAATGAGAATTATACTATTTTGATGAATACCTATTAGAATATGAATGATTCATGCATTCATTAACATTGTATATCATGTCATCCATTGCTATGAAAAAGAGATAAGTGATAAATATTTTTTGTGAGCATACTTTTCACATCTTATATATGACTTCATACTAATATGTTAATTCCTTTTTTAGTCATATCTTTGTAGAATCAATTTTGATGTCATAGCATGCTTTTGAGATGTATACTATCTATATTTTGAATTGTACATTTATGATCTCAAGAATATGCTTAATATGAAAATTTCATGCTTATATGTTTTACATTGAAATATTTGAATGAGTTATGAAATTCGTTGATTATGATCCATCAACAATGTCTAAATGAAAAGAAGTATCATGCGGTTGTAGAGACATTGCATCTATCCTATTGAATATCTTTTGAATATGGATTATATTGGCACACATCTCATGAAATGCTTTTGATTGATAAATGCAACCCTCGCTCGATCGAAGCTACCCTGGCTCAAGCGGAGGACCAAAACAAAGAGATCGCTCGAGCGAAGAACTTCTCGCTCGAGCGAAGAGTCAAAATTCTGGGCAGCAACACTGGATTTCTAAACCCAACCAACCTGAAACAAACCTGCCCAACACATCCTATAACCCCAAATGAGAAAATAAAGGACAACAACAACAATTATACAATGACAGAGTCTACGGAACCTAAGTCCGGATACAATAATCAAATGGGAAAAGATCGGGGTCGCTATAACTTGAAAATTCTGAAAAATAGCATTCCAAACTCTTGTTTGATCATTGAATTATTTTTCATTTTTTGAGTTTGTGATAAGAAGTGATTTGTGTTGTATTTTTATTGAGTAATAGTGATTGTTTTATGAATGCTATATTTACACAAATCACATTAGAAAATGGTAGTACCAACTTAGGGGGAGAAACAATTTTGCTAACATACTTGTTAAACCCTTTTGAGATGAACTCTTCATGAAAGAAAATTGAAGATTGAAAAGCTTTCATCTCTTGAACCTAACGTATGTCTCATATACTCTCTTAAGCTTTTAAGGTAAAAATTCTATCTTATATCCTTTGGCTAATACTGTTGTTACTTTGATATGAAAAAGATTGATTATGCTTCATATGATTTGCAATGTATACTTACTTGTTAAACCTTTTTGAGATGAACTCCTCATGAAAGAAAATTGAAGATTGAAAATCTTCCATCTCTTGAACCTAACGTATGCCTCATATACTCTCTTAAGCTTTTGAGGTAAAAATTCTATCTTATATCCTTTGAGCTAATACTGTTATTACTTTGATATGAAAAAGATTGATTATGTTTCATGTGATTGACAATGTATACTCTTTGATGATGCTCTTACCTAAAAATCATGCCCATGCTTAAATGTGTGATACATATTGAAATTCATGATTTTTCTTGACATATGGATTGCTATACCTTGAACATGTTTCATTTTTTTAAAAATTACATTAGCTCCATGAGATTATATTGAGTTTAACCTATTATGAGCAATATTTGGTATTCTACATAATGCTTGAGTTATGATTGTTAAATCTTCTAGATTGTATATTAGTATCCTTGGTAGATTGCATGTTGGTATCATTTTGGCATCCTATTTGATATTATTGATGGGAACATTTCAGTTATGAGCTTTCATTTATCATATCTCCTATTGATTTTGCCAAATGAAACAAGAGGAAGAATTTAAACTTGATTATTTTTTAAAACCCCTCAGTTTCTATTCTGTTTTTGACATCAAACTTATGAGCTTGCACCTTCACATGTTACTATTTTTTTTGCCCATCATTGTCAAATAGCATGAGCTTCAATTGTATGATCATTATGTGCTATCATTTTTTTGGTATCATAGAGCTATCTTGGTATGGATGATTATTTGTGCTATAATGAAACTTATATTCTTTCATCCTATATGATGTACCATACTCTCTTTTGTGCTTGATTTTGTTGAAAATGTCATCGGGGGAGAAAAAAAGACTTGATTGTTTTAGTATCTCTGATTATTTTGGTATCTCTATGCTTTTGGTATCTTAATTCTTACAACATGACCTTTGAGCTGATTAGTTGTTGATAATGTAAGAGGAATATCGTTTTCCTCAAGGAAGATTAACTTGAACTTAAGCTCCATATTTAAGCTCTTGCTTGGCAACCTTGTTTGATCTATGCATTGTTATGTCTATTATAGTCTTGAGATTGGTATGCTCTTACTAAGAAATTGAGAATTAGATCATGCTCAAACGCTTCTCATATACTCATTAACAATTTGCTCTCATTATTATTTTTTGTTTGGGCTTAATTTTCTTTTTTTTTCTCTGCTTTTTAATTTCATTTTTCAATACTTAAACATAAACACAACAACAAATCAAAATATAAATATTTACATAAAAAAAATCAAAAAAAAAAAAAACCATTCATTTTTTTTACGGCCACACACCGAGCAAAAAAAACATAAAAAAAAACAACAACCCTTCATTTTTTTCGGGCCATACGCCGATCTTACTTATTCGCCTCTTCCATCGTTTTCATATTCTTTTTATCACCTTGGGCGACCCTTGACGCCTCTACCCCTATGCTTTCGTCGAGAGCGATGACTCCCTGCTGACTATCAAAGGCCAAGAACGACATTGCTCCAAATCGGGCCATGGAAGTGGTCTTCCATTTAAGCTCTTTATTTTTTGCCTTCAGTGCACCTATTTCTGCTCACGCATCCTTGTACATCCGCTGGAGCAGAGAGAGTTGGGTGTTGACCTAATGGAGCTCACTCGTCCTCTTCTGCAATTGGTGAGCCAATTTTGTAACTGCCGTTACCGTCTCCATACAGGACGTTAGTGTGAAATGATTGGCTTCTATGTCAGATTGAGCTGCCATGATTTGCTCAATCGACATCATAGGAAGGTTAGGAAGAGGAATGACCGAAAGAGTAGGAGGAGGGACACTCGGTCCAGCAGAGCTTATGGGAACATTTAGGTCCGAAAACAGAGTGAAGGGACGGGATGAGAAAGCCATGGTTTAGAGGTGAGAGGTGTAAAAGAAATGAGTTGCAGAGAAATATAAGAGAATAGACTGAGGTTTGGCCTCCTTCGTTCAATTTTTTTTTTTTTTGGTCTCTCGATAAGGAAGAAGAAATAGACGTGAGTGGTGAAGAAGAGATAGAAGAGAACAGTGAAGAAGAAAATGGAAGAGTGTGTGATTAAGAAGAAGGCAAAAAAGAAGAAGACAAGGAGGGAGAGGGAACCGAGGTGAGTACAAATCGAGGCCTGCTTTTGTCAGCTAATGATGCAAAAGTGAGGTCGCGTGTCAAACGCGTTTATCGAAGGAAAAAGAGAGACGCAGGCGAGTTGTATGTGTATGTATATATGTATATATATGTTTTGAATTGTATAGATGCTATTTATCACTATCATTCTCCTCCTCCAGATTCTGACCCATGATTTCCTTTTGATAATATCACAGGAGGAGAAATTATATGATGTTATGTATTATGGTATTATTTTCAAACTAATTTGATATTATGTATTTATAGTTTGATATCTTAATCTTATATCATGTTGGTGATTAAAGTTTATTTATTACACATGTGCTAACCTATGTCTTTAGAAATGAATTTAGGGAGCATGACTTAGGGGGAGCCTTTCTTACTCCTAAATCAAATCAAAACATCATTGTGTGCCATCATAAAAAGGGGAGAGATTGTTAAACTTATTTATTTTGATGATTTATTTAATTATGTTTTAATTTATTTGAAAGAGAAAAATAGAATCCAAAATTTATTTTAATGATTTATTTAATTATACTTTAATTTATTTGAAAAAGAAAAATACAATCAAAATTTATTTTGATGATTTATTTGAAAGAGAAAAATAGAATCAAAATTTATTTTGTCCCATTATTTCTCACATAAACCTTTATCCTAAATGTTGTTAGAATGTATTTAATATTTGATCAAATCAGGAGTTCAAATAGCCCAAAACAGAGGTTCAAACAGTCCAGCACAGCAGCAGTTCAAAAGGTTCAAGTGGAAGATATTCAAATTTGTAATGATGGAGAGGAAGATATTCAAATTAGTAATGATGGAGTACAACGGTTATAAACGTCTATAAATTCAAATGAATACAACGGCTATAAATTCAAATGAATACGACGGCTATAAGTTTCATTATATATATTTTTTGATTTATAATCATTCACATCTATTCTCTGAGAAGTGTTCTTCAATTTTTGTTTACATCCTCTCTCAGAAATTATACATTGAGCATTATAGCATTAAGCTCATCTTTAGAGATGGCAACGGGGCGGGGCGGGGCTGGGCCGGGGATCACACTCCCCGTCCCCGATC